TGTTTTATAATGACCAAGTTGCAAATACTTAGTGCATGGCAAGTAATGAATATTTTACTTGTGTGATTTATCATAAAAATTTGTGAAGAGTCATGGAAATGTCATGAAAAAGTCATGCAATTTTATGTTTAAATTTGAATGGCCACCCTGTAAAATATTTGGTTATAATAAAATTGTAAAATATGTTTTAAATAAAGTTTTTCATTATTTTATAACCAAAATAAGCAATAAAATTTCATTAGTTAAAATTAAAAACTATTGGAAGTACTGAGTGTTTAATTTTCTTTTTTTAGTTTTTTTCTTTTCTTTTATTTCCTGCATATATGTAAAGCAGTTGATCATGTAGCTTTTATTCAGATTTTAACTTTTTTTTTTAATGATAGTCGTCGATGGATCATCTCAAGTATATTAAATGCAATGTCAGACAAAATTGCAGCTAACCATCTTACCATAAGCAAACTGTGATTGTATAGCACTTAAAATGACCTTGAACCCAATATTTTAAATCCAATAAAAATTTTTTGCTTGATTGATGAACACTTTATCAATATGACTTCTGCTTGTCTTATTGCAGTGGGAGAAATCATAAGTCTTCAATATAATAGATATTTCTCTGTTTCTATTAAGCAGACTCTCAAGGAGGAGGTAGCAAGTGCAAGGCTTCACAATATAGATAGTGAAGAGTTTATGGGAATGTTTAGTGAGGCTGAAAAAAGATCACATAATGCAACAATTTGTTATATTTCATACAAATTAAGATCAAAAAAGAATCTAACTTTAAATTACCCAGATAGTTTAGATCAATTATCTAGCAAAAATGTAGTTATGTGGTCTATTCAGACAGCCCATAAAAAGAGAATGATAAATCATAATGGTATACGAGCAGATATTTCAAAAAAACATGCATGCAAATGCTAAAAAATGGAAGAAAAATACAAAAGAAAGTTAAAATGGCAGTTGCATGAACTCTCTTACAATAGAATAAAGAGTTTATATACATTGTCTGTCAAACAACTTCATGACTTAGATGATTTAATGTCAGATAGAATTGTTGGGCAAAAGCTCTGCCATGAATGGTATGATAGTGAGTATTCGAAGTATGTCATGTAGGATGGTAGAGAAGGAAAATTTAAAACTTAAAGATGGTAGAGAAGAAAAAACAAAACAAGACAAAGTTTACACAACTTCTTACTGAAATAAAGATAATACTGATACTGAAGCTGTTGACTATAACATGAAAAAATTACAGCTTCCGATGATGTTGGACCAGGAGAGTTGATCTTTTTTTTGAAGTGTAATATGTAACCAATTATGATAATATTATTTGTAATGAAACTTTCAAAATAGATATTGCAAGTGATGAAACTTGCAAAACAGATACCGCATGTGATGAAACTTGCATAAAGGTATCGCAAGTCATAAAACATGAAAAGATAGTCATATCAAGTCAGGTATGCCAGGTGCTAAACCATATGTTTTTATTTTACTTTTTTTCATAAATGTTTTTAGAGAAGAATAAAAGTATTTGACTTGAACCTTTGCACAAGTGTTGTGACTAGTAAAATATTTTGATAGGCCGCTCTGGCTTATCTTCACGTGGTGTCTATCATTACAAATGATTATTATAGTGTTCCATTTATGAAATTGATTATTTTAATCATTTACTAAAAGCCAAGACAACTATTTAAACTTAGGGTATCTAAAATGTTTTAATACAGAACAATATAAAATTGATTGTTACATTTTTTTAATAGGAAACAACACTGATATTTTTATTAATGAAATAAAATTTATTTAATAAAATATTAAAAATAAAATATACTAATTTATTTTGTTTGTTAAAGATACAATTATTTTTAAGAATTCAACATCTTTTTATTTTAGAATGTGGGTAACCATCACCTTAACCAACCAACTTAATCAAAATTTACGAGTAGCAGCGAAAAGACTTTTTTTTCAAAAATAGGCTTAGTTGTGGACTTGAACTTTAGCTTCTAGGTTATACCTGGTGCCAAAAGCCTTATTCAGGTTTTAAATTGTTAAATCATTTTAAAATAATTATAATTGTTATTATAAAAATTTTTTTTTTTAATTTTTTTAGGTTGGGGAGTGGGGGCACACGCCCCTCCCACAAGTCAATAAGCATACCACCAATAAATAAAATTCTTGTGAAAAAAATTTTTAATGTTTTTTATACTGTGTACTAGTTTCATTTATTAAATATAGAAATATTTATTTATAATTAGAGAATTAAATATTTTTGAAATTAGGGTGTGTTAAACTACCACCATCACAAACTTTAATATACATCAATCATTGTTGTTGGTCTGGAATATAATTATAGCAACTTTTTGTATAAAAAAAGTCACCGTTTCCGGAAAAAAAACACTCTTTATTGAAAGAAATATGCTTATTTTAGGGTGTAGGTGGTAGTTCGGCACCAACTGTAACTATTATAAGTTTATAACTTATAATAGTTACAGTTAGAACTAACAGTTCATAAACATAAACTTTTAATTATATGAACTTACACTTCATATAAAATACAATTTATATATTTATTTAAATTATATTTTATTAGCTGTAAGTTCATATAAAAATTATTTCCTGTATAAGGGCAAAATGTTATTGAATTACATTCATAATATTTAAAACCATTCACATGAAGAATTTATGCTACAAAAGAAGTAAAACAATAAAAATCAAAATATCAACTTTTTATTGTGTGAGTTTCCTCGTTTTATAATACTTAATAAACGTGAATGCTATTAATACAATTCTATGATAAAATAATAATTCTTATATATAAAATAAAGATTAAATAAAAGAAAAACTATAACTACAAATAATATACTACAAGTTCAATTGTTTATGTTCATACAAGTTTTCTACGTAAAGTTTAAATTTTAAATGGCGATCACGCATTTTATTGAAATTTTGTTTAACCCCATATGAGAAACCCGTCAAAAACACAGATTTTCTAGCCCATTTCATAACCAGATGCAACGTTTTGCGTGATTTTTAAATCATACAGGGTTTAAAAAATCACGCAAAACAACCCATCGAGAAACTTGCGCCCATCTAAATACCGTTCCTGTAAACCCTGATAAAAATCGTACGGGGCCCGTTTGCTATTGGAGAAAAATCCAATTTTGCCTCACTAAATAGATCAAATATTAACAATAGGGTATCAAATTTCAAAAGTGCAATCTCTGATTCAACCTGGTATCCAATTTTTTTTTTTTTTAATTATTATTTAGGTGCTCCAAGAAGACCTAACGGTCTTGTCACAGAGCACCGAGGAAGTACATTTAACCAGGAAGTTCACGCGTCTTTCCTTACCGTGACGCGAAAATATGTCCAGAACTCGTTTCGAACCTGTATCTTCTGCTTATAAAGCTAGCGCTCTAACTACTGCGCCACGGCCGCACACACACACACACACCCATTTCACAAACCCATTTTCAATTATCCAATTATATAAGTCTGTAGCAGTTCCAACGCTAATGCATGGTCTGGAACTCTGTGAAAAGAGATAACAATGCCAAGACCTGATAAAATTGGCAGAAATGCAGTTTTAGTCTATTTTTAATGTATGCAAGTTTAGAAAAAACGATATAAACTCTCTATTTAAAATTCGGTAGATTTCAACGTACACAAAAAAAAAAAAAAATAAACCTATTTATCCGCCTATTAAATAATAAAGTAACTTTTAAAATAATCAATTCCCAGCTTAACTGTTGTTCAGTGAAACATTCATTTTTAGATGATATAAAGGAATTATGTAAAATCCATAAACTGAATATAAAAAATTTAATTCAGGTTAAGAAGAAAGTCAATATTAAAATTTCAGAAAATATAGTTACCGAAGATATTTATCAAAGTCTAGTTTAAAATATAAATACAGTATAGCACAGCATTGTATTTTTTTTTATTTACACAGTTTATTTATATATATATATATATATATATATATATATATATATATATATATATATATATATATATATATATATATATATATATATATATATATATATATATTTTTTAAAGATGATTAAGGTGCCCCAAGAAGTCCTTACGGTCTTATCACAGAGCACCGCGGATATATATATATATATATATATATATATATATATATATATATATATATATATATATATATATATATATATATATATATATATATATATATATATATATATATATATATATATATATTAGGGTGGAGTAATTTGCATACTTTTTTGGAAATTCAACTTTAGTAACCCGGGAGTAAGTTCAACAGGGTAAAATATGAGCTCATAAAAAATTTCAGCTCTCCAAAATGAAAAATGGCAAGCTTAATCGACTTTGAAAAAATGCAAAAAAACGCAATTTTTCTTAATTTTCACGTTTTTTATACAATTTACGAAATCAATTATTAAAAAAGTCAAACCAGTCAAAAGTTTTTCAAATAAATTTATTCATTATAAAATGGTCAAATAAATTAATAATAAATTATAAAAATTTTATTTAATATAATGGTATATAAGTAAAAACGCATTTAAAAATTTAATTTATTTTTACCTAGTTTTTATAACTCATTTAAACGCATAACTATTAATATAAAATACAATCAAGTTTTGAACGGCAAACTTGAAATTACTTAAATAACTAAACTGTATATACAAAGTTTACTTATGTAAGTCATTTTTAGATTTTTAAGGCAAAATTAGTTGAAAATTATGTATAATTATATACTAAAGAATTTAGATAATTATAGTTATATAGGTCTTGAAAGTGCTTACAAACAACTTGAGTAATTTTGACCTCAAGATTATCCAAGATGTAAGTAATTAATAATTACCAAATATGAATAAAGGATTAATAAATTGAACAATTTGTTAATCCTTTATTCATAAAGGATTAATAAATTGTACCAATTACGTTTAAAGTATTTTGACTAAATACTTTAAACGTAATTGGTACGTGTACCCATTTCGTTTAAAATATCTAGCCAATCGTGATTTTAGATAAGGCTGAAGCATTACACTATTTGCAAAAACCTTCAAAAATTATTTCTATGAAACCTAAAGTGATTAATTTTTTATTCGAAAACAGTGATTATTACAGTTAACAACTTAATAAACGGGTAATAAAAAAAGCCATGGATAACCATCACCAAAATCCGAACATGTTTTTAAATAGTTTTTTTTTTTTTTATTGTTTTTAACACTATCACCTTAAATTCACGAAAATAAGTGTTTATCAAGATTTCAATAGCCAAAGGCGAAATATTTCTAAAATAAATACCTTGCAAATGTGAGTCGAACACTTTACCACTACCCTACTACTGCATTGGTCCTAAATCCTAAACACACTTTTATATTCCTCGCATTGAAAAAGTAAGTGCATTTATGTAAATATGTTTTATTAACATCAAATGCATAACAAAATTTATTATTAAAAAACCACAAAGTCGTTTTTAGTTTCAAAATATGGTCGTATTTCCCTGGATTTTAGTTTAGTTAAAATATATTTATGACGAGCTTCACTGCCATATACTTGGTGACTAGCCTCTGTAACTAATTCGACAGCGCGTTCTACGCTCTGCGCGTGAGAAGGAAATTCAGGTAAGTTCGGAACTTCTTTAGTTACAATTAGTGCATCGATTTCGTCATCCTTCAACCATATTGTTAGATTCTTCATCTCTAAGCATACAATATAAAAAGTTCTCTGGCAAAAGACAATATGAATTTTTTTTTAGATTTTTAAAACAAATGTTTTGTATTTCTTCATCTTGCTTTCTTATCTGTTCTGTCATTTTAAAGAATATACTTGGAGAATCCATAAATTTAGAAGACCTTTTGATAAGAAACCAAGTGTATGCATACACTTGTACAATAAACATTACAAGCCTTACATGATCAAGACTTGGTGCTTCAGTACGAGTATACAAAGCCATGACTCGAATTGCTAAAGTCAACCATCTTGCGTTGTTTAGTGGACCAATTTTTCTTCTAAAAAATATGTTATTGACAAATCCTTTAGAAATTTCAAGACAATATTTAAATAATAGTCTTTGATCGTGGCTTAAATCATTTATCACTTCAATGGGAATATTTAGTATCTCTACTGGAGTATCAATTTTGGTAAACTTCACTTGTGGGTTAAGATGGAAATATATAGAAACTTGCTTTCCAATAGGTCCTGAAAATTTATTTGGACACTTTGAACTGCCATCAACTATTTTGAATACTTTTCAAAATGGAAGTTCATTGTGATGCAAAGTACAACCGATAAGGTGTATTTTTCTTTCTAATTTCTTTTCTAAACATGCAACAATTCCAGTTTTGAAACCTGTATTGACATTTGTATTATCAAGAAGAAGGGCTTGTACTGAATTTAAACTATCATACTTTTTCAGAACATTATATACAATTTCACTTTGAAGCAAACCAGTTGCACCATTTGATGGAAGATTTTTATGAGAGAAATATAAACCATTTTTAAAACTATTTTCATTAGTAAAAGTTAACTGATGTTCTTTTTCAGTAACTCGCGACAAGCGAGTTTCTCCATTTTCAATGACATTCTTAAACTGAAGAACATTTTTATCATCTTTACCATCAACACCCAAACACACCAAGTTACTTAAATTGTTATCATGTTGATTATTATATCTTGACATTACTTTCTTCTTCTCTCTATAAAACAACTCAAAGTATTATATTTAGCTAAATATCATATTAAATGTTTTGTAAATGAGCAGTTATATAAATTATTAAATAAAAAGATATATTTATATTTGTCTAACTTATATAATGAAATAGTATTTACCTCTCAATTTTGCTCGATCTACAACTTGATTCAAATCTCCATATTTAATGATTCCACAATCTAGAAGTAGAGCATTTGCAAGTGCAGCTGCAGCACGAGATGAGACATCATACCTACAAATAAGAAACTATGAAATAAATAAACAAATCTGAAAAAGCAAAGTATATTACCTATATGGGATCCTTTAACATTCTATATTCACCCTCCCATATTAAAAAAAATTTACTGGGGATGAAAAATAATGAAACTTATTGTTTGTTTTTTTTTCACACTTTCAATATAGTATATATAAAAAAATTCTTATCTAAACTCAATATGTAAAAATACTTAGTATTCAAAATATGAAAAAAAAGTCATATATCTCAAGCAGCATACTTTGTAGGACCAACATTTAAAAAACGTTGAAATCGTTGAAACAAAGCTATTTTAGCGTTGCCGGGCAACGGTTGCCCCAACAAAGTGTGCTGTTTGTGATATATATATATATATATATATATATATATATATATATATATATATATATATATAAAATAGTACAAACACATCTAATTTTTTTTAATATTCTATTATAGTCAGAAAGCTTCCTGATGAACTTACTGATGGTGACACAAGTTATTTAAGAAAAAAAATTAGATGAGTGTTTTTACTAATTTACTATTGCTCTGTTCTTTAAGAACATTGAACACTCATTTGTAGATTATTATAACATAATATATATATATATATATATATATATATATATATATATATATATATATATATATATATATATATATATATATATATATATATATATATATATATATACAAATATACATAAAAATGTTACCAAAACATCTGGATCGGATGCTGAAACTTCAGATATGTGACCAGAATCAATCAATGAGTTATGGGCGTAAGGTATTTCAACATGATCTATAAGCTCTACTTGAACTAACCTTTCCGGAATAAATGTACTAGATTTTAAATCAGCCTTTCCTAGTTGATAAATACCTTTAGGACCAATCTTGTTTCTCTGGTCACGAATATATGCACTGTCTTCAAAAGGGACCTTAAATACAATTATTGAAAATAATCAACTACTTCAGTTAAATTGAAGTGAAATAATTATATATAATTAATAAATAATTGCAGATTAAAACAACAAATATTTTAGTATATACAATAATATATAAAAAAATGTAATCAAATACCTTTCTAGTTTTACAAAGACACAAGATGTGCTCTACTTGGCAATTGATGATGCTACACTTAACATCTCTGTCATTACATAAAACAGTTGCTAACTCACAAGTACATGATGAAATATCAAAGAGTTTATCTAAAATCGAATCTTGATACTCCTTACTTTTAGATTTACAACGTCCTCGGTTTATAGATTTTACTCAAAAAGATTTCGTAATTTTCTTAAGATTGAATTTCTCTGAGAAAGAGGAAGACGTGGGTTTACTTTATTCCACAGAATACTCAGAGAATTTTCAACCTCTTCTAGTAAATTCTGTTTTGAAATGATTTGGTTATTGTTTTCAGTAAAATAAAAAAACTGAATTACTTGACGAAATGTTGGAAGATCAGCTGAAGGCATTTCTGATGGGAGACCTCCGTACTTCAGACTATTTTCTAAACGAGTTTTCCTTGATTTGCTTTTAGGCATTTTTTCTATAAATTATTTTCTATTTATAAATTATAATCTAAAAGCAACAAAACAACGCGCAATGCGCATGCCTACTTTGAAAATTGGCGGTTTTCCACTACATTTTTGTAAACCAGCCATTTTCCAGGCATTATTAGCAAATACATGTTATATATATTATTATTATTTTTTGATAACCTATTTACTCCAGGGTTACTATAGTTCTGATTCCAAAATCACTCCACTCTAATATATATATATATATATATATATATATATATATATATATATATATATATATATATATATATATATATATATATATATGTATATATATATATATATATATATATATATATATATATATATATATATATATATATATATATATATATATATATATATATATGTATATATATATATGTATGTATATATATATATATATATATATATATATATATATATATATATATACTGTGTAAAAACTATATATATAGATATTTAATGTGTAAAAAAAATGTTTATAGATATTTAAAATATATTATATATTACTGCGAAACACAAGACTTATTGGCAGTGGATCTAAAACATACAAAAAAACTCCCTGATGGGAATAAATGAGCGCAACTTTTATTTTTAGCCCCGGGCGCAAAATTCCGCTTTTATTGAGTATGCTATTATTATTTATTAAAATTTTATGAGTTTAAACTAGCAAAAATATAAAGATTCGATTACTTTAGTTTGTTAATTGTCTCCGACATTTTTAATAAAAACCATGCATAGTTTGCACGGGATTGCTTTCTATCTAGTTATTTAATTTCAGTTAAAAGTCCCTAAAAGATGAAAAGATTTAGAGTTCTTTTGGAGCTAGTTTCCAAATTATAGGTCCTAAGCATGAGAGATATTCTTATTCATACTTTGTTGTACGAATATTGGTTGTGTGTGTTCGTATTTCTTATCCTTGATTATTCTAGTTGGTAGAATAATCAAGGATAAGAATAATCATCTTTTTGTTGTGCTTTATATTTATTTAGCTTGGATATATGATAAGCCATCTTTTTGATGATTGTATGTTGAAACTAAAAAGCCATCGTATTTCTTATTAAAATTCTAATCTAAACAATACTTGGAAGGTGAATAGGTAAAGTGAATGACGGTGAATGAAATTCTTTTGGCGATAAAAAAAACGTAACTATTGAAAATTTTTAACAACAAGATCTTCAAGATCTTGTTTTAAATGTATTATGATACTGGTTTTAAAGTATAAAAATAAATGAAATGAATTTCAAACTTATAAAATGATGGTTACCCGTATTTTGAAAATGCTAACTGGGTAGTAATCAACAGGCTGGTGTCCGTCGACAGCCTTAACTAGGAAGTTTGCGCCTCATTCTTTACCAATGTTGTTCTGGCTAGATCCGGCTTCGAACCTCGGGGTTCTTGGTTGAGCCAAAGCTCTAACGTCTGCGTTTATTTTTTGTGCATATCGTATTTTTTTTTATTATTATTATTTTTTTGTGGTGATGCTTACTTAAATAGGCTATAAATTCAATTCAATTTCATTTTTCTAGGCTTTTAGATTTATTTTATGTCAATTTGAAATTTTTTTTATCAAAGTTTTTATTATCAAAGTTAATTGCGCATAATTTGGTTGAAATGTGAAACAAAGTTCTTTTAAAATTGCATAGTTTTAGTAAAATAGACAGCAGCTGCAATTAGGTTCAAATTTCGCCAGGTCGGTGTTCTCGGAGGGCTCATTTTATACATTTTACAACATCATATTACATCAATAATTTTTTACAATATTGCGTCATCAAAAATCAATTAATCAACTTGCAAAATATAATATATTTAACTGGTCCACAACACTTTCTTTTTGAAACTCCATTACAAAATTAAGCAAAAATTGCAAAAAATATACAGAGAAGTTTGGCAGTGATGGATCCAGGATTTTTTGAAGGGGTTTAAACCTTAAACGATCAAAATTTTTAAACGCTTAGAGATAATACTATAAAACTTAAAATTTATCGATGAGAATAGTACAAAAAAAATTTTATCATATTGTTGCCCCTCACGTTTGGATAAAGTTAAAGGGCTTTTTCGTTCTCAGCCTCTAATCATCTATGTCTGAAAGTTAGCTATTTCAAACACTAAAAAATTCTGGATCCGTCACTGAAGTTTGGCAACAGGGAAATTTAATATAATCAAATCATCTTTAATACTCTTTAAAAAAAGCTGTAATATTCTTTAAAAAAAACGCAACCTTTTTTTTGAAATACAAGAGAGCAGGGATGAAGAGCCAAGGATAACTTAGCAATGACTGTCTTTGTTGAACAGTACTATAATTTATAATTTATAATAATTTGACTTTTTATTTATAATATACGTTTTCGTTAATTTTAGCGAATTTTCGTTACATGGAAGTAAAAGATTTTTTTCAGCAGTACGTTGGTATTTTAGCCTGTAAACATTTCAACATCTTTCTTTGAATTTTATGTTGAAGTAATTATCTATATCCTGAGGGAAAAAAACGGCTACACATATTACAGAGTAAGTAATGTTCAGTAAAACCTAATATGTTACTAACAAACTTACAAAATATGTTACTAACAAACTTACAAAGAACTTATTAATCGGTTGTTAGAGTTTTTAAGAACTTAATCTTTTAGTTTTTTAGACGTCTCAAACAACTCATCAATTGGTCATATTAATTGTTTTTTTATTAGAACTTTGTAGGAATACTTAGGTTTTTATTTGGTACTTTTCCGGATCGGCAAATTTTAGGCTTAAGTTAAATATCAAGCTTTATATTCAGAAAGTGATTTAGTCAATTGTAAACTTTATAAACTTTATTTGGGTCTATATCAAAAAATCACCTAAGTTTGGTCGTCGTGTAACTTCGGTCATTTAAGAATAAATAACAAATTTGGCGTGCATTTCACTTTTTAAAAACATTTCTTCAATAATATTTGATGTCACTTCGTGCAAAAGAATCATAAAAAATGATGTTTATTTGAAATCTTCTGAAATAGGTAACTAATTCGTTTGCAAAACAAAAGTTTCGAAATTATGCATACTATTGATAGGGTGGGGCAAATCTGAATGTTTTTCTATAACGAGCTGTTCCTAATACCAAATTTTCGTGAATTTAGTTAAAAAACATTAAAGTTTAAATTACAAGAAAATAAGTCAATGGATACAAAAGCCTAAAATTTTAACATGCGTATGTCAAGCAGAGCCTACGACATCAGAACAAATAATCTAGAAATTGAAAGAGTTGTTCGGCGTTAAAATGACTGATAAAGACGAGCCATTCCATTATGATAATTGCTACGGGTCTTACTTGGCAATTTGTACATAGAAGGTTTCACGGAGAACTATGTTCATAGAGACTCAACTGTGGATGAAGTAAAAGGTGCTATTGATTTTTGGATGTCAGACCGTTTTGGAGATTGTAGCATTTTGTTAAAAAGCAAGGTGTTGAGGACAAAAAATGAAAATTTTTGCGCGCAATTAATACTGGCCATCAATCATGCTATTGATAAGGTATTTCACAACACCTAACAGAGAATAGGAATTCAGAAACTGCTGGACATATCAGCAGGTCAGAAAGCATTTACGTCTCCCTCAACTTCGATACACACTCTTAAACAAATTACCATAGCCAAATTACTCTAGCCAAGTCATGATAGTCACTTCGTATCCTTATACATAGATAAAATTAAGAATTGCGGATTAAGAGGTTATTTCTCTAATTGCTTTGAGTGTATTGCTTAAATACCGAAAGTAACCAAGAGACAATCAATCCAAGACTTTTTTGAAGCGACTTAAACAAACTTGTATTAGCCGTATTAGTCTATGTAAAGAACGATTGGTTCATTCTCTGTTTATAAGTGTATGCCGAAATAGGCAAGATGGTTATTTTTCCTAAAATGAAATTACTTTGAATAAATATGATTCAAGCTGGAGCTATGTGTGGAAGTTTTTCAAAGTTTAATGATTCAACAGTTAAATGAGAAAGACTTTTTCTCTTCAGTCATCAATACAGGCTCTAATGACGTACGGAAAGACTATGATCTTAAAAGTGAAAGAACAGACGGCAAAATTAAGCATGCGCCCCTGACAAATCAAGGGTGTGAGTCGGAGTTTGCAAAACTGAACATCCATATAAAAATATGTGGTGGATTTACATCAATACAGAAAGAATGTCAAAACAACCAATACCTACTTTCTGAATTCAGGTGTTTTTAGAATGACCTGAAAGTGAAAAGAAAAAACGTTGGAAATGGGCAAGGACTTTCTGTGAAGTAGGACAAGTAAGGAAGCTAGAAGCTGAGTTCATAGCTACAGTGAAACAGGCTCGTCAACTAGCTGTAATTAAACGTCGAAAAATGAAGATAAAAAAACATGGAAAAACTTTAGAGCTTTTTGAAAAGTACAAAGAACACAACGGTCCCATAAATCTAAAAACTGTCGATATTTTGAACTCGCTCAACGAGAAAAAGCTGGTCAATGAAGTTCCGTTCCTACATCTGACTATAGCGCCTGAAATCAAACAACGACAACCAATAAAACTTTATTTTGGTAAATTCAAAATAGCGAATTTTTCAATTGACTAAGATGTTCCATTCGTAACGCAATAAAACCAGAAAATGAACTCTCGAACAACATTGACACTACTTAGGTCAGTCCTGTGAAGAGTGACCTCCAGTCAAAGTGTCTGTAAACAAAAACATACTGATACAAAAATTGGTGAGGCCCAAGTTAACAAGCAAAGTTTTTTCCAGACAGCTATTGTTCCACTTAAATTAACCATCTTGAACAAAAATGTATGGTTAAATAAGAAGCCCTCTAGAATACATTACTGTAGACCCCTACATCTCCAATATTAAAAAGAAACGGAAGAATTGATAAGAAATGAGTATAAACTTTTAAGGCAGGAATGAATTGACTAGTCAAGTTTGAAGTAAAGTTAAAAAAAAAGGAAGGCGAACCGTATACAACTATCACATTTAAGTTCAAACTAAATTTGTTTGACGGTTAAAGCCCTCACTAACACACTGTCCTCCCAATCATGTAATGTTTGCGGAGCTAA